TTTTCCACTTCTTGAGCCTGATGAACATGTCGTAGATTCTAAATGTGACGAGAAACCATGTCTCGGAGTATTTGTAAGCGGACCAGACTACCGTGCGCGGGTACGTCCAGAAGGCGAAGATGAAAGAGACAACAATCACACTGACAGAGATTGAAACTGAAATCACATTTGTCAGCGATCGCTTATGATAGACGGCGGTTGAATACATACACATGTAGACTGCTTGTTCACGGAAAGACATATTGGTATCACCAATGTCTTTATTATTCATGCCGAAGACACTGGACATGAATGATAAGGGGAGCTACATAGCGTTAGGATTTGAACAACCAGAAGTGATCCACAGCCAGGTTTCACAATAACAGAGAAATTAGGGCATTACAAGGCTAGAAACTTACAAAGATGACGGTGACGATTGTAAAAATCATTACGGATCGCCCCTGGCGCACACTTTCGTCCGCTTGTCGTACAGACTGCCATGCCTGCAGGATACTAGCCTGCTGCTGTTTAAGGTCCAGGAGGTCTTTGATCTAGGAATAAGAACGGAAAGTTTTCAAGTCAGCTCATCGAAATTTTGTTTCCGGAACTTCGGATGGCCTTACCCCTTGAGAAGTACTCTCAGCGCTCTTGCGTAACCCCTCAAGCTCAGCGATTCTGTCCCCGACGTCCGAGATCAAATCATAGGCCTGTTTGCGGAACCACGTGAACTCGTCCTTCTCCCTCTCCAGCTGTTTTTTGTCCTCCTTGCTCTTAGGTTCCCGATTTCTACCCTTGCTCTGGGGATTGTCATCTGCGCACCTTGAGCGCAGGTAGTCCCGCTCCCCATCAGGGCTCAGCGTCTCATCCCGCCACGTCCCGCTCGGGTCGTAGATGTTCTCGACATTTTTCACAAACCGCTTAATGACCTCTTTCTGTTTGTGATTAACGTGAATCATGATGTCCAGCTCGTCGATGATGTCCCTGATCTCTCGCTGCAGTTTGCCCTCTGGGCTGATGTTGAGCAGCGAGGCGTGTAGTTGGGCCGTATCCTCATACTTGGACTTGGAGTTGTAGATCTTCGAGGCTCTCTCCGTCCAGTGCCATAGATGCTGGAACGACATCGTCTGCTTGTTTTGCTACCACATAATCAGCATCGGATGGTCTTATCTCCTGTCGAGTTGGTTTAAAGTGACCCACAAGGTTACCAATTGACTCTGCGAAAATGTCAAGGACTTGGGGATGTCGATCCTTCTAAATGTTAGTTGTCTAGCCCTTTGCTCCCGTCATAACTGCAAGCTTACCGATGTTTTAGTGCGATCAAAAAATGTGTTTGAGCACTCGTCCAGAATGATCAAAGCTACATCGAAGACAGATCGGATTTGGTTCTTTCGGGCGTTCTTGATCCTGGTTCGAATCGAATTGTGCACCCCGGAAGGGTCCGACTTGTTCGTCCCGTACCTTTTCGGGAAGCTGGTGATGATGGTCTTCCTGTCCAGGATCCACATCCACAGCTGGTCGACCATGACGATCCGCGACACTTTTCGAATTTCTCCTTTGCAATGATCGCACACTACGTCGCCGTCTGATCTTACCCAGTGGCCGTCCCATTTATAGAGACCCATGCAACTTTCAGCCTGTCTGTCCGCCGGCGCCTCAGGACACGCGCACTTCTTAAGGCCCAACAGGTTTCTTAGGTGCCAGGCGTGTCCCTGGTCATTACGGGCACCTTGCGCCTTGCAGAGTCTATGGATGTCTCTGCCGTCCATCGTCGTACCGCGATAAACCACTTGATCGCGGTCACGCGCTTTGGTTGATTTCAGTGTCCAATAATAAGACTGATCCAAGGTCCGCCGGGGGTGCAGTGGTGGATCGTGATGAAGGTACTTTTCCACGAGCTGCTGGTCTCGGTACATCGAAATCGCCTCGTAGAGTTTTGCCGCGTCAAGAAGGAACTGACCCAGCTTGTTCTCCGTCCGAACCCTCCCGTGTGTGTCGCATTTCAACTTTGCAACGCGCCAGACATTTCCATCGTCCGTGACATGCTTATGCTCGATTGTGCTCTCCGGAATGAACCCACCCGCGTACTCAGCGAAGTTGCGTGCGTGTTTTGCGTCAGGCCTTCCAGAAGAGTTCTTCTGCCAGGTTGAGATGACGTGCTGATGATGGGACTCGTCAGACTTGTCAGGACGGGGAAACCTGAACTTTGTTTTGACTCTGAGTTGATCTCGGCCAAACGCATCTGGATACATGCGCTCGGAAATCCTCTATCTTTTGGCTTCGTTATGGGATTTTTCACGTTCTTCACGGTTTCTTACAGTCTCCTGTTCGATGATCTTGGCTATCTTGTCGCGCTTTCGGTCCTCTTCCCAGTGGAGAAACGGCATCTATAGAGTTGTGCAACCAATATCAGCCTCTTTTGCCCTGAACTTGGTATTGATTAACCGGAAATATTGACTTGGAATAACTTACAAAGAGCACAACATTGTCTGGGTTGTCTTCCGATTCCCAAATATCTGAGTTGCGGCGTTAGTTCGTGTATCAAGACGCATCATGCTCGTTGAGTGGCGCAAGCAAGTATTGGGTAACCAAAGATCTTCGCATTCGCAATGTAATCATACAAAGCCCACTGGCTTTTATGTGAGTATACAGAGAAAGACTCCAGCTTACTTGAAGATATTCTCTCGCAGATTGCTCGCATGTGGCGAGCGTGCACCAGTGTCCGTCGACCTCCGTGCTGCTGACCTCTCCAATATTCAGGGCGCAAAACCATCTGACTGTGGGTCTTTATCTGACTTTGGTATACTATGTCGTGTGTCGGGGACTCATCGCCGAAGTATCGCGCAATGGCTTCCTATCAGGGGGGGTTAGAATGCTCTCGTAAACACGTTCGGCGGACAAGATGGCTTACTTCTACCCACTAAATATGTTAGCGCTAGTACATAACCAGCAAGTCGGATCAGGAATTCTTCAGCTTACCTTCATGTTATTATGAGGAATGTGTATGTAGCGCACTCTCGGTTCCTTCGCATGTCGTTCGCGATTCAATATCACATCGCTATCCTTCTCCTCTGGATTATAGGCCAAAAGATTTTTCAGGGATGTTCTCTGATCAGGGAACAGACCTTTGAAACGACAGTCCGCAGCTCCTTCGCTGACCGGCTTCAGATACCTTTCGGGGCCAGAGCTCGTTTCGTAGAATGAGGGAGCCAGGGTTGTCGATGCTAGTCGAACGTTCCAGGAGGGTCTCTTTAAGGGTGTCCCTTGATCCTCAAAATAGGAGGTGATTCCAGATGCCCTTGGAGAACTGAGAAGATTGGCATTTGAGACTATAGGGGCTGCTGGCGTCGGCGGAGTGAATGGGGATGATGGTCTTGGAAAGCTCGATGTTTGCTGCGACTGATGCGGTGCCCATGGCGTCAAGACCTCCCATTGTATGATATATGCGTTGGTGTCTCGCTCAAGCTCGTAGTGAGTGTTTTCGTCTACTTTGAATGAGTAGTCTAGACATGCATCTGTGTGGTATTTCTCGATTATATTCCGAACCTGCTTTCGACCCGCAGCCATGCCTTCGCTGTCGCTGGCTGTATGGTCCGAGTCATCGTTATTGTTTTTGGTGCTCTGTTTCCATCTGCGAACAATGTCGATACCAATTCTGTACTCTTCCGAATCCTTCCACTCGTTATGGCTGCGGTGAACTAGGCTAACCAGATCGCAGGACTGGCCTTCGGGGGATGAGGTCGTGCTATGTGCCTCACCACGCTTGTCCTTCTCCCTGCAAATCGAACACTTGACCCCAGAGAGCGCCTTACGTAAGATGTCGGTCCTTTTGTACTGGGACTCGATTTTGACAGCAAGGCCTTTGATCTTTTCGTCAACCTTAAGTTCGGCCATTTCCTGTCGCCTTTCTTTGGGCATGTCTCTGTTTTGTTGATGCAACTTGGCGAGCTGGGTATCATGTTCATGGTTCCACAGCAGGTAATTCTTTTTTTTGTCGAAGAAATGGGCGCGTTCTGATATTTTGATGCATCCAAAGTAATGCGCTGTAAAGTCTGCAATAACCCCAGGGCTATCAGCAGTAGGCCCATGGGGCTCTACCGACACACATGTTGGTAAGATGTTGTGGTCGCCCATATTGCTGATGCTTGTTGATGAAGAAACGTAAGAGGGGAGAAAGACAAAAGCTGGAAAGGTTGTGAATCAATAAGTACTTATCGACCTGGGGATCGGGGAGACCTGGACTCAACAGCCTTGGGGGCCATAACGAGGCTCGGGGCACTTCGCAGTTTCCATATCATCCATAACTAAATCGGGGAGCGGGTGGTCAGCCAAAGTGCAAAGGGGCTAGTTGATTGCATATGCAACCCTGCGGCCTTCTTTAGGCAAAGAGGATAATGACCAGATTTGGCGATTTTGAACCATGCTGGGATTCAGCCTCTCTATGCCACGCTTTTTGTGCCTCCTGGGCCAGGGAATATCTCTGAGAAAGGAAAGAATATGCAAGATACTGGTAGGCTGCACGAATTGCTGATGTACTTGAGCTTCAACTACGTCAATAGTAGCTAAGCACATGTGACTGAACCCTTCAGAGTTCGGTGAACAAATCGGCCATTATCGCTTTCGATCTGCAGCAGCCTTCCAAAATACCCTCTTGGCTGCGCCTCAACGAGGTCAGGATAGCTGCAGCCAGATATGGAATTACGTCCGTCCCATCAGTGAGCCAGCCGGCCAATAAGCTGTCCGTTGCCCTCAGCCGCTGATGTTATCTAGCCAATAGCCCCTAGATTGTAAATGCAGCCTGATTCTGACGGCATTCTAAGGTCCAGATTCATTTACTCAGAACAGGCTCGCACAGTTTCGGTCTATACCAACATTGGAATGTGGCAATAAAGTCGATGGGCATGCGCAGCGGATGGTGTGTTGCGAGCAATCACCAAAACGAGGTCGAGAGAGAGGACTCTGTGCTTCTTCAGGAGAATGATCGGGATGATCGTTAACATCTGCAAAAAATGGATACAACCAACGGCCGGTTGGCCCAATGGCAAGGCGTCTGACTACGATTGAAATACATCGCTGCAATCAGGAGATTCTGGGTTCGACCCCCAGGCTGGTCAGTTTTTGAGCGGGGTTTTCATTTTATATAATTTTATCGACTCTATGTTATAGCCCAATCTTGTTTTCTTTCTTTCTTTTCTTTTCCCTTCCCGACTTCTCTTATCAGAGTGGTTTCACAAGCTTATACATACCAGGTGAAAGTTAGCGGTTAGAGTGGACCGAGGCCAAGTCTATGGTCAGAATCTAGATTTAGGTTTACTAGGATTGAGTCATGGAATATGGTATCTTTCCGGAAGGGACCATTTTTAGGTCAACTAAGGATATACCGTACCATTTGTGTATAATACTCTCCGATGTGTAGACTCGTCTCTGCCTACCGGTATGTGCGGGGGCGGGGTCGAGCGGTCTGTCTTCGCAACTCGGACCCGGTCCTCAGGCGCTCCGGTAAGGAGCACGTGTATTATTCATCTGCATATATGCTTATGCGCGCTTTGAAACTCAAAGAGACACGTATAAGTAGGCAGAAGGGAGTATATCATGCCTTAGAAGCAACCCGCCCAATATGCGATGGAATTTCATGGTAAATGTTGAACTGTACAGCTAGACAAGCCTGCTCTAGCGACCGAGCTACGCACCCAAGACAGTCTATCTTAGGGTCGAACAAGCACACAATGATACTCTAACCCTGTCAGACAAACGATATGTGTATCATGACCAAGAGCCTGATCGGCAACTCCGATAACTCTTGTAAAGTCTGATATAGACCGATAATACAGACCAAGCACCAGCCATAAGTGCTATTAAAACTTAAATTATGCTACACCGGACCTAAAACAAGAGGATACATTGTGATTACAGTCTTAGTGTAGTATAAAATAGGTTTTAATAGCACTTATAGCTGGTGCTTGGTCTGCGTTATCGGTCTATATCGGATTTTACAAGAGTTATCAGAGTTGCCGATCAGGCTCCAATATTTCAATAAAGTATACAGCGCTGGAGACTATAAGAGGGGTAATGATACCAGCCTCCTTTCTACCCAGAACGACTAGTTTGGATGTTTGAGTCCCGCCTCTTCCCCTGTCTCTTCCCCTGTCTCTTCCCCTGTCTCTTCCCCTGTACCCTCCATCGTGACCCCACCTTTACAGTTGCAATCGGCCTCTCTCTCTCTCAAGTTAACAGATGCAAGCATAGTGCGGCCGGAGAGCTCGGGCGGCCGGAGAGCTCGGAACCTAAGATGGCCACCGTTCCGCTCGGAATCAAAGAGAACGGCCGAGACTCCGGCAGCAATGTCACGCGCCGAGGATTATAAAGCCTTTCCGAAGCTCGTGGCCACTCCAAAACAAGCCCGAAGCTTCAGAATCGAGGATAGCAAGTACAACCTGATCACCACATTAACAAGAAAAGCACCCGCCAGAATGCCCCGACGCGTCCTCGTCACCGGCGCGAACGGCTTCATAGCCCAGCACATCCTGGACCAGTTCCTCGCGGCGGGCCACTCCGTCCGCGCCGTCGTCCGCAGCGAGTCCTCGGCCTCCAAGGTCCGCAAGACCTTCGCATCCTACATCGCCTCGTCCCAGCTCGACGTCGCCCTGGTGCCGGACATGACGGCCCCCGGCGCCTTCGACGTGGCGCTCGCCTCCGACCCGCCCTTCGACACCGTGCTGCACACCGCCTCGCCCTTCGACTTCCGCAAGGGCAACTCCAGCGCCGACTTCCTGGACCCGGCGGTCCGGGGCACGACCGAGATCTTCCACGGCGTCCGCCGCGTCGCGCCCGCCGTTAAGAGGGTCGTCGTGACCAGCTCCATAGCCGCCATGATCGACATCTTCCGGCCGCCCGTGTCCGACCCGCCCAAGATCTACGGCGACCGGGACTGGCTCGAGGTCTCGCGGCGAGACGCCGAGACGTCCGGGAACCCGCACCTGCCGTACGTGGCGAGCAAGGCGCTAGCCGAGAAGGCGGCCTGGGCCTTCGTCGAGGAGGAGAAGCCGGCGTTCGACCTGGTGACCATCAACCCGCCCATCGTGTACGGGCCGCTACTAGACGCCTCGGCGCTCGGGTCCCCGCGGGACCTGAACCAGAGCAATTACATGCTTTACGAGACGTTCTTCGCGCCGGGGCTCACGGAGGCGTCGCCGGTTCCGTCCGAGTTCCTCCACCTGTACGTCGACGTGCGGGACCTGGCGCGCGCGCACCTGCTCGCGGCGACGAAGCCCGCCGCGGGGGGTCATAGGTTCGTCGTCTGTCCCGGGGGCGTGTCCAACCAGAAGATTGCCAACTTGGTGCGGGAGAGGCTCCCGGAGCTGCAAGGCCGGATCCCGAAGGGCGATCCAACAGCGACAGCGCTCCCGGAGGGGATTTACGGCGCGGACGGGTCATTGGCGGAGAAGTTGCTCGGTCTGGAGTACACGAAGCTGGAGGATACGTTTGGTGACCTCGTGGCGCAGATCGTCGAGCTGGAGAAGCGTGCTGAGAAGGCTCCGTGAGGGTGTTGCTCTTTCCGGGGGGGGGGGGGGGGGGGGGGGGGGGGGGGGGGGGGGGGGGGGGGGGGGGGGGGGGGGGGGGGGGGGGGGGGGGGGGGGCACTTCTTTTTGCCGTTCCATGAGGGGACAACGGAGCGAAGTCGGGGCATGGTCGTGTATTGTAAATCCAGTTCTACACTCAGAATTTACAACAAAACAACCTCAGTCTTTTGCAAACTGAAGGCATTGGGTGTAGCAGTACGACAACAAGCCCTGCTTTCCCATTTCACCTCCATGGCCGCTGTCCTTCATCCCTGCGAAGTAACCGCCGGGGTGGGGCAACTCGGGCACATTGATCGCGACCGTCCCTGCTTCCAGCCTCCTTGCTATGCTCTCGGCTCGGCCTATATCTCTGCAATATACCGATGCCCCGAGGCCGGCATTTTTGAGGTTGGCGCGTCGGAGCACGTCCTCTTCGTCCGTCCAAGTGAGTATCGGTACGATTGGGCCTTTGAAAAGCACGATCAGTATGCAGGTCTCGACGATTACAAACCACGTCGTTGTATCAAATTTTGGGTGTGGGAGTTTAGGTGTGACGAACCGAACTGCTCCTCTTGGACAAGCATGGAGTCTTCTGGAGGCTTTGTGACGATCATCGGCGGGATCCAAAAGCCCTTGGAATCCGAGGAAAGCTCGGCAGCGATGATGTTGCTCCCATGCTTCCTGTAATGACGGGCAATGTCGTCGACAGTGTCATACTGCATCCTGTTCGAAACGGGGCCGAAAAGGCTGGGGGAGTTGGCGTCGTTGTTAACGACGAAGGTCTTCTTCATTTCGCTTGCGAACTTTTCAAGGAATTCGTCGTATACGGATTCGTGAACGTAGACGCGCTTCGTAGCCACGCACACTTGGCCGGCGTTAAAGAAGCATCCGGTGGCAACCTGACCCGCCACCTTGGCAACGTCAATGTCGTCGGTTACGATGGCTGCGTCATTGCCCGCCAGCTCCAGGGTCAGTCGTTTCAATGTCTTTGCACAGTTAGCCATGATGCTCTTGCCGGTGGCGATGGTTCCGGTGAAGCTGATCTTGGCGATGGCAGGGTGCAGCGTCATGGCGACGCCGAGGTCGGCCCCGCCGTTGACCACCTGGACGACGCCGGGAGGCAAGACGTCGATGAGGAGTTCGACGGACTTCATGACGGTGTATGGCGCGAACGGCGAGGGCTTGATGATGATGCAGTTGCCTGTGATGAGTGAGGATGCCACTTTGATGTTTGACAGGATGAGAGGGAAGTTCCACGGGCATATGGCGCCGACGATACCCAGAGGGTGGTGGGTGGCCACGATCTTGAGCTTCTCGTCCTCGAAAGTAACGTCGTCTTCGAGATAAACCTTGGCTGTGAGGGCAGGCATGAGTATGCTGAATGCTTCCGAGGGGAGCTGGGTAATGGACACACTGTAGTACATGGTCTGTTTGCATGTATTTCCGATTTCGATCTCGGCCATGAGACTCTAGGGGGCCAGTGAGCATCATGCTTTACTTTAAGCCACAGGGAGAAACTCGAGTTACCGATTTCCCGGTTTCCTTCATGACGATTTCCATCAGCTCCTCCTTGTGCGCAGTGTATACATCGGCAATCTTGGTCAGATAGGCGGCTCGTTCCTCTGTAGTGGTCTTGGACCATGTCTGGAGGGCTTTCTGGGCTCCTGTTATGGCATCCTCGAGGTCACGGAGCGAAGCAATGGGCGCATCCCAGAGAGGATCCTCTGTGCGGGGATTGGTGCACTGGTGATTGCTCTCGCTGCTGCGGCGCTGTCCATTTATGACGTTGAAGAATTCCATACTGACTGATATGGGAGAGCTGGCTCCGTGAGTCTGTTGACCGGGGAGAGAACAAGACAGAAGGTAACAGCAAAGGACCATGAAGCGGTGATATGGATAGTTTACACCTCCAAGACGCCGGCACGAGACAGTTCCCTTCTAAAGGGTTCGGTTCGGGGAAAGGCAGGCAACTTCACATCGGTTACATCATCTTTCGCGGGCCATAGTTCAATTCCACCACCGGCTGACATGGCTCAGGCACACCCATATGGGTTTCTGCCGGATTTCCCGGTGAAGACGACCGGGTTGTACCCAGTAGAAGACGAGGGGCGCGTACCTACCTATGTGACGTTCCGGAACAGGTGTGGCATGTTGCATTGCCCTAAATTAGACTGGGCGGCAGTTGGTAGTTGACAACGACAATTTGTAGAGGCATCTGCAACAGGCAATCTCCATACGCCCCTACAGTCTTGACTTGACAAAGGCGAGTGAGTGATGGGTCGGTCTTTGCTGGCCGGGCCATGGCTGCTTGTCAGCCAAGGCCTGGTGGTTCATGAGCAGTATGCTATGTGTGTGTAGGTAGGTAGGTAGGTAGGTAGGCAGGTAGGTAGGTAGGTAGGTAGGCAGGTAGGTAGGTAGGTATACAAGGTAGTTCCAGAGAGCTGTGGAGAACCTTATTTTGCTTTGCAGTCGTTCTGGATGAAGGTCAGCGTCGGCGAGTGAGCCTCGGTAAGTACGGAGTACTGGGTATGTAAACTGCCTAATTGATTCCGTCG